GTTCCATAAAACAGAAGTTTTCCAAGTCACACAGGGGGAAAAAAATGCTTTAACTAGATAGGATAAACAGCTAGGACCATGAATTCAATTGGCAGGAAGTCCGAAAATTCCACATTAGAAAGGCTATAAAGCAACTGCAAAAGAAAAGGATTTAAGTGAAAACAAAGAAACTGGAATTTCAAAAAGCATACACTGAATAAAACAAGGACAAGGCAGAGAAATCAAGAAAATAATAATTTGCTCCCAGAGCAAACAAGCACATTATTAATAGCTTTATTAACAGTGGCATACATGCAGCGATTTTGTTCTGTTGCTCTCAAGTGTTACTGAGTACTGCAATGGGGAACTTTATTGCAATGATAGCTACGTAATGCAATGTAAAGGGCTCCAACTCTGATTTAAAGGCTACTAACTCAGATTTCCTTCTATTTTCCTCTGAGAGATGGATCAGAAGACAAGCATGTATAATACACTTAGTACCAAAAAAATAAATTAGCACGCTTCTAATGGTGATAACGTGTATAAAACCAAACTAGACATACAGGAACACAAGAAGAAAAATGCAAATTAAAAGAAAAAAATAAGCATGAAATCATACAAAGCCATAGCATGAAGAAAAAGCTATTCAAAAATAACTTCCACAGGAGAAGCACCAGCCCATATGGACACTATTTCTAAGAATCTTAGTTTATTGTCTTTTTAAAAGAAAAAACCACCACCACCATACTAAGTGTCTCTACAGAGCTACCACAATCACATACACAAAGTTAAATGATACTGTGCTTAAGTGTATTTTGAATATTTTCTTTAGTTACTCCGTTGCCTCGTAACAGACTATACGTAAAATATTGTAATCAGTTAAATAGTATCTCCCGCCATCACTTAACATGCCTAGGAGGCTTCAATTCATTCTGCTTCGCATTGCTGTAGACCATTTAACTATCAGATATTTGGGAAACACTTTGCATTCTGCTCAACTCCACAGAGAAGAACTTTAAAACAGTATCACAGCTTTTATTTAGCATTAGCTGTATCGCAGTATATCAGCAATACCTAAAAGCTCACATCAGATAAGGCTTTCAACTGCCAGAATAAAGATAGCTCCTGCCTAAAAATAGAGCAATGTGTAAACAGAAGGCACGAGATGCCCTCTTTTTCATTTTTCTTTAAATTGTTCCCAAACAAGCCCTTTCATCTGCATGAATCAATTTGTGTAAGGCGACGTCAGCCCCCACCCACATCTTCAACTTCACAGAACTTCCTAGTAAAGGAACAGAGCAATTCCCAAAATTGCCCCCCCCAACAAACAAACACAAACAACAACAGACCAAGCAGTTCTCTTATCTTGTCCATATTTTTAGGACAAGTCACTAATGGAAAGACACGGGCTGCTTGGACAGGTGCCTGCCACCACATAAACATATCCCATACCACTTGGAGAATACTTGAAGTATTTCAGGTTTCTAAAATAATGAAACCTGTCACTCACACCTGAAAGGTGAAAGGCATCTGACAAACACCTGTAACTTGCACCCTTGCCAATAGATAGCTACTTTTTAGAAGGATGGCACTTTAGCTTCACCAGAATTAGGTTGCCAACTATACAGAGTTTAACCCAAAATTAAATATACATTGAGGAAAACAGCCTCCATTCTTATTCTGATAGAATTAAAACTACAGAACAAGATAATTCAAACTTTTACTTATTAATGCAGGAGGCATGCAAATACCCTCAGACCATTTCTTCATTTTTTTATGAGAGCAATCCTAAGGATGACAGTTGAAATGCAGACATGTAGTTCTGGACAACAGAGGTCACGTTTTCCATGAGGCCTTACTCTTCCATGGTACCATTTAATACTATTCTCCAGCAAGAGCCTGCCATTCCAAATATTCCTGACATGTTGTTGTGATTATAGACAGTTTTATTCATGCTCTCATTCCTTCCAGTAAACATATATTCTAGGACAAAGAACTGAGAAGTCAGAGCAGTCGTATGCATTGCTCCAATCTCAAATCAAGCACAAGAGCAAGAAAAGACAGGCCTAACAGGGCCCCACAACTGGGCACGACACAGTTTTCATAGGAAAGTTTGCATGTTAACAGGCAGCTAGATTCATAATAAATTTTGAAAAATAGTCACTCTGCTATGGAAGATGGGGGGGCAGGGTATAATGCACAGTATTGAAACACAGTATATTTTGCTATCTTTGTGACTAACTGAATGCATATCCCAAGACCTTCCACTTGCAGCAGCTACTGCAAGTTCCACTGCCTTTGGTCAAGTTGATTTTCCACACTTAAGATGCACAACTGTTCTTGTTACTGACAAAAATGTTCTGGAATTTCAAAAAAAATGATATTTACAAAGGGGTTTGTATGTTATTAAACTAACAGCAGCATAGTCAACCCGTACAAGTTCTCCATAATTCTGTAACAGTAGCCAAGACACTTAAAAAAAAAAAAAAAAAAAACAGTAGGACAGTAGGCTAGGATGATCTTGAATTGCTCAACTGGCCAACATCATACTTAAATTTCTTTTCTGCTGTTGATTCAATAAAGAGGACACAAACTCTTCTGGGCACAAGAATATGTTGAAAATTAAGATGATGTTCAGAGCCTCATCAAAATTTTGTTGACAGTATTTACAAAAGCAAAGCCTAACACTGGCATACCCTATTATAAAGTAATGTGTGGTTCTTTCAGAAACCTCTTGCAAGAAATAGAGAACTTTTGCTTACTGCAATCCCCAGAATGCTTCTCAAACTAGGAGATGAAATATCCTCAGCAAGAACATCCAGGAAGGTTGCAGGATGTCTCTGCTACTGGAGGCTTTTGCTGATCTCTGTTTGGAGCAATGCAGGTATGACTGAGTGTCGGGACAAGTAACTAAAGAACCTCTTCAAGTCCGTTCCAGTCCTTTTTTCAGGGATTCTCTGTCACCATAAACACTGAAATTTCAGATGATCACTTCCCGAAAAGCGAACAGAACTAGCTCTATTCTGATCAGGCCATGTGCATTTAATGCTGTCCAGTAGCTGGCAAACGGCAACCTTTGACACACCTAGGACACCAGTCTCAGCTACGATATGCTTATCACTGAACAAGGTTTAGTGCCCTAATCATCCTGAATTCTTAAGAATGTACCTCACATTATTATGCTTACATTTTAAACAAGGCAGCAAGCATTTCTTTACTAATAAAAAAAGATACTAGTCTTGCTACAAAATGCCCTTTCAGGATACCTAATGTATCCTTGATTTCCTGAAGTCTGCAGGAATCTTTTCAGACAGCAGATGTTTCTGGAGCAACCTGACTACTAGAGCATGACGAAGACAGAGAGATGTGCTTCCTCGGTTGTTCTTCTTCACATACACACAATGTTGATCCCATCATCAGCCTGTTAAAGCAGTCTCTTCTGAGAGTTGTTATTCATAAAAGTTACCCTGTTAATCTGGAATGAAGATGGCTATGGGAGATGAGCCTAAGGACTACCTGCTATGATTAAGACTATTCCACACCAAGAGAAGTTTGCTAATCCGTTCATAAAGAAGAAAGGGCATGGAGGGTAGCAATGAATGCCAACAGTACCAAGAGAGTTATTGCAGAGGTACAGTCTAAAGACAGGAGAAGAAGGTCAGAATACTACTAGTCAGAGCTTGAACAGAAACCACTAAATTCACTTTGCATTTCAAATGCAATTGTTGCAGTATTAAGGTGACCTCAGACTTACGGCAGTAGGAAGGAAAAAGGGGAAAAAAACAGGAATGGGACTGGTCTTTGTACATACACACACACCATTAAATTTCCAGCCAATGTTTCCATCAGCAGGAGACAAAATTGCTCACATAAATGCATAATTATGAGTATTTCGTTTTTGCCAACCACACTCAAACCAATAATGAACCTCTTCAAAACAGCATTGCTGCACATTCCTAGGAGTATGCTACATATACATGTATGTCTGAATATTAAAGCTTCCTTGCCCCTACCATCAACTACTGAAAGTGAACAGCAGGAGTTGAATTCTCAAGCCTTTTGAATTTCGCTTTTTTTTTTTAAAACATTACTTCAGAAACAGGAAAATATAATCTCAGGTGATCTAATGGCTTAATAAATTTATGAAAGAATCGCTACAACCCCTAAATGTGAAAATCAAAAACCTTTGCTGCTCTTTTCAGTGAAGCAGAAGCTTATGCAATTATAGCCTCACTGCTAGCTGTTAATGGTTGATAACACCCCAAATTTCGTATCAAAACTAACTTATAGCATTTACAGACCTTGATGATAGTCCACCCTCACAATTATCCCAATATACTCAACAGCGCATCCAACATGAATACTGACAAAAATGTATAAACATGCTAAGAATAATAAAAGCCATTACTTTTCATCTGGGTGCCTGTCTGTGAATTTGCCTTTAAACAAAGGGGAAACAAAACCTTTAGGATTGTCAAAACAGGACATGCTGCTAGTTACAGATAGCAACATCCTACAGATCTCCATCATCATGCTGAAACCCGCAATAAAACAGTAAACATCTTCCTGTCTTAAAAATTAGTGTCTTGACTATGACAGAGAGAGACTAGAATAGTCAATGCTAAAACACACAGCTATCCTAAAGCATCCTATTCAACAATATACTGCCATTGCAGTTTTTTGATAATTCGTCAAAATATAGTCTGAAAATGTAATAAAATTATTAAGTTCATGTCTTCATTTAGATCATATCTTTCACAAGCTGTATCGTATCTTCACAAATCAACCCATTTATTTTCCATTTTTTGAGAGCACATCTTCAGCTAGTGCTTTAAGCAACAATATCTGACCTATAATTTTGCTGTTGGTTGGAAAAGAAGTGAAGAATATCATGGTATGTAACACAAAAGCAATACATCTTCCTAAAGAACGTTTCAATTACTAAGAACTCATCTGGAAAACAAAACTGTACTTAAGAGTAATGCTTCCAACATTCAACTTAGAAAAACAGCGCATCTTACCCCCTGTTCCAAGAACTTTCAATAGTTCAAAGTTTTCAATGCCAACTTTCTCTGCGTGGCCTGTCAAATTCGCTGAAGGGAAAAAAAAAAAAAGAACATGTCAGATATGTAATACACTGAAACATCATTTTGACATATTACTGTAGCTTCAGTAAACAAGTTAGTAGCTGAATGAAATAAGCAACACTAAGTGGACATTCTGCCAGCATACTGTACTAGAAAATGTTGCTCTTCTGTGCTTTTCAATTTCTTGCTCCTATTCATCTTCACAGAATCCAAACTGAAGCCCCCCCAATCCAAACTTCTGCTCCAAACAGGTAATGTGATCACATTGCTCAGGGGCACGACCAGTAGAGCCATTAACAACCCCAAGGACTAAACCCACAATGTTCCCTGGGCAGACTGTTTCAGATATTTAACCACCCCCACCACAGTAATGTTTTCTTTCCCTAATATAAAACCGGCATTTCCCATGTTCCAGATTGTATCTGTTATCTTTCATCCCATCACTGTGCACCACTGAGAAAAGTCTAGAACCACCTTCTCTGTCATTTCCAGTCACAGCTGCAGACAGCAATCAGGTCTTCCTTAGCACCCTGAATACTGTCATGTCCCTGGATTATATGGTGTTTGGGATGACGTAAAAAGAGCTCCCACCACTATGAATTATTAAATCTACAAAGACTTCCTGCTACTACTGAGAGAGAAAGACCTTGAATCTACTAGACCCACCCCTGTGGAAAAAACAAGGCTGAAACAAAGTTGTTTCCTTTGCTGGAGAGTTTGGAAGGAGAGGGCTCTACATTTATACAAATCTATGCAACAGAGTATTTTTTGTCTAACACATTTTTCTAAGGATGGCAATGAAGAGCCCTATTTAAAAGTTTTTTTTGTTTTTGTTTCTTTTTTTGCCTTTATAAGCTGCTGAAAGAAAGCCTTAAGCAGCTCCAATCTTTTCCATCCTCCATTCCTACCATAACATTCACCAGCCATTTGTATCAACGTGACTGCAGCACATGCAGCAAAACTGTTCAGTGAAATGATCCAGATTAAAAGCAGCAAGCCAAAAAAGTAAAGAAGTTTGATTATTCTAAGCCAAGTTCAGTTCCTGATCCACTTAAATGAGCAGCTGCATAAACAGTTTTACTAGCACAATTAAGGATGCAGCACCAAGCAGCAGAAGCTGCACAGGCTGTCATGGCTGCTAAAAGAATGCCTCGCAAAGGAGCTTCATGCCAAACTGTATGGCTAAAGGCTAGTTAAAAAAAAAAAAAAAAAGGAAAAATATGCAAGGAGACAGATTTCAAGTATGAAGATCTCTTAACCATAAAAGGAAAACTTTGACAGGAGATGATGAAATTAACTTATCCCATTCATCAAAGCACAGTAGAATTTGTTATATCCCAGAAGATTCATCAAGACACTGAGCTTTCTGAATTCATTATCGCAATTTAAGTTCACCATTCACCAAACTAGTAAGTCAACGGCTCAAAACAAATAGAAAACTAAGCTTCAGAAAGACATCTCTGCAAAGAGAAAGTATCCAAAAAAAAAAAAAATACTAAACAAGTGAAAAAGCAAATTCATAACTTGTTCCAACAATCCTAGGAATCTGTACACATATACAAAATGCATCTAGTGGGGATGGGGTAACATTAGTGCTCTCATGCCAGGCACCGATGAAATCTCCTCTGAAGTATTACTTTCAATTCCTATCATTCATTTTTGCAAGGGATTAATCAAACTTAGAGTAAGTGCAGACAGAGCACTTGAAATTATTAGGAGATTAGAAAACCTAAAAGAGCTTTCAGATTTTTTTTCTTGTACAAATAGAAGCATACATAACAATGACTTTTGCAAATCTGACGGAATCTGCAAGTTATTCTAATATTATATGCAATAATTAAAAAAAAAAAAAAACAGATCAAATAAATTATTATTGGAACTGATCATAAAAATAGCACTTTTCTATTTTAGTAACAGGTAGTAGGCAAGACTTAGAATCCTCAACAGATCAATTATTATGCATCACGTGAGTTGAACTGAAGCTTGCTGGACAATTTTCACTGCAAACCAAAAAAATACTGTTGGTAGTTCTACACCACAGTCAGAAGTCAGCAGTGAGCTGTACCCATCTACCAAGAGAAGAACAGCAGGTAAGGCAAAGCTAGACTGAATGAATATCTGTAACAACTTCCGCAAGTCAGGTCACACTCAGGAAGCAATCTGTCTTGGAGCAGCTGAATATTACATCCTACCCTTCTTAGCAAGCACTGACAGCAGAACTCGACGGTCAGTTTCAAAACTGCATTTCCTACCAGGGACAACAGGAGTCATGAAGTGATCTGAAGGAGACCAGTGTCAGTGGCCACAGTTTTAATGAAGCAGCGGGTGTCACCAAAGAGGTTCAAGACAGAACTTCTCTAGACACTTGCTAAATGAATGCTGGACTCAGACTAGTAAGAAACATTTCACTTCCATTATGCAGCGATCTGCCATTATGGAGTACTCCAAAAAGGTTTTTACCATCTCATATCCTTTAAGAGCTGTCAGCAGAAGGCTTTATAATTAAATGCTCTTCTAGAAGGAGAAACAGTCATTTAGTGCTGCTGTGTTCTTGGAACTGAACAAGAAGATTGAGAGAACAGAACAGAGCAACACTCACTAATAACACGCCAAAGATTTGTAGTGCTGTAGAGGCTATAATCCTAAAAAAGAGAACAAGTCCTGAACTCTGCTCATTAATTTGAGCTAACTATAAACTCAATTTAACTCATATTCCACATTCAATAACACCAGCGAAACTTTTCCCACTTTTGTAAGATTAAATAGCTGTGACAGCAAATAGTTGAATGATGATTAGTTTGAACTATTATGTACTTGGTCCAATGGGAACCATAATTTTGCACTATCCACTTAATCCCATTTTACTTCAATTTAGAATGTTTAATTGCTTTAAAAAAAGAAAGAAAGAAATGCCTTGCAAGTTATTGTAACCTTATTTTCATAACAGAAATGGAAAACAATATAACAAATAAGCATACTTCCACCATAAAAAAAAAGTCCCACCTCGTTATTCTTACATTAGACTGAGGAAAATGGCCATCCCACAAGACCAGAAGGCAAGGAAGAGCTGCGTAACACATGGAAGTATGATAGAGCACTTGGGACACACAAACTCTCTCTCAGAATTACTCTCCATGAAGAAAAGCAGAATTATCCCCTATCTTAAATAAAATAAAAACATTAATAATAAGTCTTCAAAGCTACAGGAAAAGATTAACAATTTCCCCAGACAGCATTTCTCCTAGCACTGCTGTGCCAGGCAATGGCTTGATCCAACAGCCTCTGTACTCAGTGCAGATCCAACAGTCTCAGCACTCAGTCCTTCTCTGAAGTCATCAGCCAAGAAACACAGGCTGAAGAGCTTGTGGTGCCTCCACCATGTTCTTTCCAGAGATGCTGCTAGAGCAGTTCTTTGCCATCATCTGCTGAAAGTAGATGCACTTTTTGACATTGAGATGTGGAACAGCTTCCCCAGAACTACAGCTGCCATACTGATACTTCCTTGAACCTGCTTTAAGGAGTGTAAATCCCAAAGATCAATTTTATATTCACCAGCCACTCAGTGAGAGCCCAACTGGCCACTGCTGAAAACTTTTCACGAGGACTGCTTTCACAATTACAAGGTAACAGCTCCCAGGAGTCTGGAAACAGAAGACTTTTTTTTCCTCCATGCCCTTTTTCTTCAAATGCATTGACAGATTAGCTGAGAGGTACAAAGGAAGGGAACTGAACTTGGACATGAAGAAGGTACTGCCCAAGTCAATAGGACAAGAGTTTCTCCACAAGCAATCTGAAGCTACACATGGCACAGCAGTATAAAAGACAGTGGTACCTCAGGAACAAAAGAAAACAGCACAAGTAGCAGGATCACAGCACATTCTAGGAGACAAGCTAACTGCCTAGGTACACAGTTAGGAAGTTTCTATTTACAGATTTTCTGTGGTATGCAGGTGATGGTTACGGCAAGATACAAGTGATCAACCCAGAAAGAGAGAAACAGACTGAAAGGCCAGATGTAACAGCCAACCATAAAAACAAAAAGGAAATAATGGTATCAGTCCTGGTCATCACCTCTGAAGAAAGCAAATGTCTAGAAAGATTTCCACTGTGAAGACAAACCTCCACACGCAGGGACACCAAAGCAGGAAGATCAGTACTGCTGTTCTCACCTCTGGGGAAACAGAGCAGTCTGTGACTCTGGGAATCTGGACAACCTATTTCTGCTTGGTGGAGTATCTGCAGACGACACAGGAATAGGCACTGTCACCTGAGCAATACTTGAACCTTGAGATGGCCCAGCATGAACGGAGAACTGTGCGAGGTGGTACTGAGTAGTGACTACTTGTTTTAAACTGCATTTTTATCATCTTAATAAATAAAAACAGCTGTTGTTGAATAATTATTTAAGTTAAATCTGGTATCTCCTCTGTTTCTACACTCCATGTCTTACAGGTTTTGAAGCAGAAAGATGAAACTGGAGCCTCCTCTACTGAATTAGATCAAGGAGCCTTTAAAGACAAGCTCTGCTGAAAGCTGCAACATGCCTCTGCTATACTCAGCAACGTGAGACCAGCTCTGCTGGTTTACTGAACAGAACCATGAACCTCACACACTTTAAGGCAGAGCAGAAAAAGCAAGAAGGAAAATAGGATAGGAGAAAATCTGTTGCATTTCCGATTACCAAGTGTCTGAAGCCTGGTGCCATGATCAACTTGATTCTAACCCATTGCTTCAGGGAATGGCCCACCTCTACCCATGGAACTGATCTAACCTTTTAAGTCACAGCAATAAAAAACAAATGCTGGTTTTCAAAGTTGTAGGAACATAAAAATCAAGATCATCCCTTAGTCAGAGTCAATACAGGATGTTTTGCCTTGAAATTGACCAAAACTCACATATTCTTGGGCAAGGATTGGAGAATGGAGGGATGCAACAACACCAAAAATAAATAAATAAATGAAACAAAAATCCCAAACACAAACACATAACCAAAACCACACAACTGT